CCCCCCGGAGCCTTCTCTTCTCCAGGCTGAACAGCCCCAACTCTCTCAGCCTGTCCTCACAGCAGAGCTGCTCCAGCCCTCGGATCATCCTGGTGGCCTCCTCTGGACTTGTTCTAACTGGTCCATGTCTTTCTTATGTTGGGGGCTCCAGAATTGGACGCAGTATTCCAGGTGGGGGGAATTCTCAGCCCGATCAGCAGCAATTTGCCACAGCTTTGACATATCCAGGCAGAACATGGGCCACCCCGTTTCTCCTGCGTATCTCAGGGCAAACACTTACACCAAAATGAAATAAAACCCGAGTTACTCACTCTCTGAGCAGGACACACCAGCACCAAAACGACCACCTCCTCTGGGACAGGAGACGTGAGCTCCATCGTGACGACAGTGGGCCAGGGACATCTCTGTCCCCGAACACTTGACACCACTCATTACCACGTTGTCAGCACTGATGTCTCCATGCCAGTACCAGGTTTCCTGGGCAGAAAAAAGACATTTCACACACTCTCCAGTGGACTGTTGGAGGAATAGTCATGGCCACGTAACCTGCCTTCTCCCTCCAGGGAAGATCAAGGCAAGAGCCAACGCTATCAAGGATTCAGATGTTGCCAAAGGATATTGGAGCAGAGTAACCCAGGGAATGAGCCTGAGTCTGTTTAAGCAGAAGGCTGGAACTGGGATTAAACCCCAGTTTGACCACATTCCTTACCCTGAACATCTGACCAGTGTTAAGCAAATCTCTCTCCTTGTTTCTGAGCTGGTTTAAATCTTTGCTTGTTTTTAATCCAGCTGTAAACTCACTTTTCCATCCTGCTCTACCCATCCAGCTGATGAATTCATCCTCGGGCTGTTTTAAGTCATCTAGGCTGTGTCTTTGGGATAGATGCCCGGCAATTAAACCACATCTATCTTGTGACATCTGTGCACTGGGGAGAGCCACAAGTAATCCAGAATCCTTGCTTGCACAGGGAGGGGAGACAGAATGAACAGCCATGCTGGAAATGCCAGTGGAAACAAGGCATCTGGGGAGTAGCAGGACTAACAGGGTCTGCATCTCTCGGTTTTAAGAGGGGATTCAAACCCTGCTCACTGCTCATCTCCATCCCCTGGTTACACCAAACTTGTAGGAATGACAGAAAATTAACACAACATAACACCACTCACAAAACCAAGCACGCTAAACCCTGATGAAGGAGGAGGAAAGGCAAGGAGGAGGAAAGGCAAGGAGGAGGAAAGGCAAGGAGGAGGAAAGGCAAGGAGGAGGAAAGGCAAGGAGGAGGAAAGGCAAGGAGGAGGAAAGGCAAGGAGGAGGAAAGGCAAGGAGGAGGAAAGGAGGAGATTAGATCTATTAGTGTCAAAACTAGGAGCACGTTTCCAGGAAAAGAAAACCCAATGGTACCAGGGCTTCCATTGCAACAGGCTGTTTGTTACCCCTGTTAGCAGCCTCCTTTGCACACCCGCACACAGGGCTGCCCTGTTCCACACAGTGTAGCTTTATGCTCACGTAGCTGCTGCAGCCGGGAGACGCATAAGGACCTTTTCTGTTCTAAATACCAGCAGTCTCGGCTAAAGGAAAAAATGTCTTGTTTCTTGCTGGACTCTCAGGGCTATGTCAATAGAGACAGGCGGTGGGAAAGGCCAGTGTTCAAGGGACGTGGCTATCCTCAGCTCTTGGGCTCTGCTTGGCAGCTAGGAAGGGAAATCAGCTGGAGGAACCAGCTTGCACAGGGGGATTTTGCTGAAACAGCAGCATAGGCAGCTCCAGCCTTCCACCTCCTAGATATCCACCCCCTCAGGGACCCACAGGTTCCCTCTCTGGCCATGGGTAACAGCTAAATTGGTTGATATCCATCCACCCATGAGCCCAGTGTGTCTTCCTGGACCTCAACTTAGTAATTCCTTAAAGATAAAGTTATTGTGGCTGCACTCTCCAAGCAGAGTTTTAACTTGCAAGAGGTAACCACCAGCCCGGAGGATGCTGAGTTTATTGGTAATTTCAGGGCCTTATTGTTCCTCCCTGCACAAAACCAGCAGGCACTCAGCAGATATGTTAATTCTCACTGGGTTTATTGCTGCAGCCCAGTAGAACCAGTTGCATCTGAATTCTGAGCAGGTCAGACACGGCACAAAATACAGCAGAACTAACTGGACCATGGGCTTGGAGACTGGGGACAACCTCCCCGCTCCATGACCATATTTTATTTGTTCACCCACTTTTTCAATTTCTATAAATTGTTTGAGGAAAATAGTTTTTCTTTCCAGAACTGATCTAAGGTTGTTTTCTATCCATATAAACACAAATCAAGTTTATTTATTCAGTGGCCATATGAGCCCAAGTTTCCCCAAAGCTGCTGGCGATTGTTGATTCTTGGTTGAAAACCCTCCAAGGAGCTGCATTTCCAGAGCACAGCATGACAACAAGCTCTAGCAGGGGATTACTTTGTTTTAGGGACAAACTAGATTATTTTAGGAGCCCAAATCCCCATCTTCCCAGTGGCTGTGAACCACAATAAATACCCAGAGATTATAAATTTCCTTTCAAAATCTACCATTACACCGACGTCTGCCTGCTCCTCCTTTCATATCTTGATCCTTGAGGGATGTACCAGTAGAGAAGAGTACCTGGCATCAAGGTTATTGCCCTACACCTTACACCTGATGCCATGTATCCATCTGGGAATTGGGTGGGAAGCTGTTGCCATCCCTAATTCCAACTTCCAGCTCTTATGCTTGCTGCTTGCTTTCCTCCAGCCAGCACAGCAGGTTCCCGTTGGCTTCGCCAAAGAGCTTTGCTGGGAAAGAACATTTTATTCCTTTGTGGTTATCCCAAAAGCTTGTTAGTTGGGAGCTTTTATCCCTTTATTGACTAAGTCATGTGCAGGCAGGGAGGGTTTATTGTCATTAGACAAGCAAGAAATGCATACAGCTCCACCACACACACTAACCTACACATGGCACTGACAAGGAGCTACAGGAGCAAAATCCCATTGTTTTCAAGTGATTTAACACCAGGTTAAATTTGGCTTCCACACTTCAGGAGTTCAACTCCCCAATGATTCAGGGAGGGACAAGAAATAGCATGTAATCATCAGTCCAATCAGGGCTAAAGGAGCCAGGCTTCCCAGGAAATCCAAACCCTCAGCAATATGAAAACAGCAGCTTTGTCCAAAGCTGCAACAACTCTTTCTGCTCTGAATTTCCCCCAGTAACTGTTGTGCAATCAGATTTAACCTTCAGGGGTTCTCCAGCTAATGCTTTAAAGCTGAGTGCTGTGGTTTGTGTGAGGTTTGGGTTTTTTTAATTTATTTTTGTTTGTTTGAGGATTTTTTTTTTTGTTCTTTTTAAAATTATTTTTTAACTATTTTTTTGTTGTTTGATTGGTTTGGGTTTTTTTGTTTGGGGTTTTTTTTTGTTCTATTTAAAATTACTTTTTATTAATTCTTTTTGTTGTTTGATTGGTTTGGGGTTTTTTTGTTTTGGGGTTTTTTTTGTTCTATTTAAAATTACTTTTTATTAATTCTTTTTGTTGTTTGATTGATTTGGTTTTTTTGTTTTGTTTTTTTTGGGGGGGAGTTTTTAAATTATTAATTTTTTTAATTTTTATAGAAGCTTTGCTCCTCTTCCAGTAACCCCGACCCAACCACTCACATACCACCATCATCTGAAAAACCCCACACAGGAGGGCATGGGGACTCACCTGGAAGGCGTGGCTGGCAAACCCCAGGCCCAGTTGCCGACACACCACCATGGCCTCCACGGTGCTCCAGTTCTCACTGCAGACAGTGCCCCACCTCAGAGTGCCGTTGCGTTCCGCCAACACCTCCACCCGGCCCTCGTAAGGGTTGCGGCCACCACTCAGACGCAGCTGCAGGACATACAAAGTCAATAAGTCAATAAATGTCACAGCAAACTGGATAGGGGAGATGTAACAGTTGGGCAAACAACACTCAGGGTCTTCTCAAAGCTCGTGGTTAAAGTCACTGAGCTCAGAAACCTCAGATCAGCTGCTTGCAGACCAGTTGATCCAGTTGGGTTCATCTCCTACCAAGGATGGGAAGCAGTTGAGCCAAGCCCAACATCTGAAGGTGGCCTGGACCAGCTCCCTGTGAAATCTTCCCCCCTCCGCTCCCTTTGGCAGGAGCATTTACTCAGAGGAACCTACACCTGCTTCATGCAGATGGTTTTTAAACCCCACATGGCAAAGACGACGGCAGCACCTACGCCAGGTACCACTGTCACGAGACCCAACCAAGATCCATCACAACAGGGACAGGGCACCAGCTTCACAGGGTCACTGGACTGCACAGGTTGCAGCTGAAGTGACACTTCACTCATTTCTAAGCTTTGTCATACTGGGAGGAGCTCAAAAACCCAGTACAAAAAGGGAGAATCCTCCTTATTTACTCTCCTAACACAGATGTTAAAGTCTAAATGAGTAGGCACAGCTGAGGTGAAATGATTCCCACCCAGACACCCTGCACTGCACAGCAGGGGAGAGCAGATGATGCTCCAGGATGAAAACACCTCATCACACTCACTCACATCTGGATCTCACTTGGTTTCTCACCTGATTCTGGAAACCCATCGCTGGAACGTTGCATCTCACAGCAGCATCTTCTTCATGGTTACAACCCTGTGACTCTGTGTTGAACTTGCAATCCGTGACTGATTTTTCAAAGCCCGTACAGTCAATTTCGTTCAGATGAATTGGACCCATGCCTTGGGGGGGGAAAAAAAAGAACAATAACAACAACAACAACAAGGAGTCCTTACCTTCTGCTCATGCTACTGTGTGGTGAAGCAATATCTAACAGCAGTTTGTTAATACATTGCAGACATCACGCTGGCCTCTAACACATTCAAAACACTGTAATCCTGAAAAAATTCCAGTGATTTCTTGTACAAATAAAACAAAAAGCTCCAAGATGACTATTAACAATTTTAGCGTTAAATTCTTTCCAGTAGTCTCTGCGACTCGAGCGAGCGAGGACCACAGGAAAAGCCAAGTTTCCATTGTTACATAATTTACAAACTTCAGCTGGAGGAATTCTGCAAATTCTGACCTTGTGGTTGGGTCTCAATGCTGGGATCTGCTCCCAGTCAAACCCTGACATTTTAAATAGGACATAGACACGTTTGCTGGGACAAGAAAACACAACACCACAGGGACATGTGAGAAGCCAGTGAAAAACTTTGGGCAGGTGTGTGTTACAGATTCCAACACCACTGATGGAAACCAGAGAGTGAACATCATCTGGTGCTGCAGAGAAACCAGAGAGTGAACATCAATCATCTGGTACTGCAGAGAAACCAGAGAGTGAACATCATCTGGTGCTGCAGAGAAACCAGAAAGTGAACATCATCTGGTACTGCAGAGAAACCAGAGAGTGAACATCATCTGGTACTGCAGAGAAACCAGAAAGTGAACATCATCTGGTGCTGCAGAGAATGGTCTCAAGGTGCTGGGAGCCAAGTTGAGTAATTTGGTTCCTCCCTGGGCAAGTAGCAGCAGACAATCATCCTTCCTACCAAAGAGACACAACCAGAGAAGAGAGACACACATGAGAAGGTAACAATCCTGCCTGTAAAGCTCTCAAGTCCTGTTTCCAAACTGAGCCCAAAGTTGGTTAGAAAGAAGGGGTTTTTTTTTGGGGGGGGATGAATCAGAGGTTCCAGCAGATGATCTTCATCACAGAAGAACAACCAGAGTCTTTGTTGGAGCCCATATAATCCCATTACTGATGGAAACACACCAGCTATTTTTGACAGGAGATCCTTGCAAGTAGCAGATGTAGAACCTCTGGTCTCCAGCAGTTTCTAGGAAGGTTTCAGAGAGGGGAGGCTGAGAATAAAAACACTCCTAACCTTTGCTATCAACATGATGTCTCCAGACTTGGTGTAATCAAAACGCTGGCAGAGGCTGTGCTCTGACCTGCAGGTCACTTGCTTCTCTGCAGCCCTTGGCTAGGAACTTCCATCTCAGCTGCAGGTGCCCCTGTTTCTGGTCGAGCAGCATCATGATGGTGATGATGCAAGGCAAAAGCCATAGAAGAACTTTCCAAGAAAGCAGCATCCAGCCACCAACACCCTTCACCAGCCCTTTCCATCAGCTGGAAGAGGTTGACCAACACCCAATATAGAGTGTTCAGTTGGGAGTTCCCCTTGCATAGCCCACAGCAGGAGGTTACCAGAGACCAGGTTGACCCATCTGGGTAATTGAGGTAGAAAAGCAACTGTTTTCTTACCATTTCTGACAGTGACTGTTGACTCTTAATTCCTGCAACACTATTCTCATCATCACCCAAGTGATGAGGGCTCTGCAGAACCAGAGCTGTACCTGTCTCAAAGCATTCAAACCAGCAGAGAACAGACCATGGAAATGACATCCTGGCTGCTGGCTCCATTTCTTCATCTGCACCCAGAGATGACACAAATTGCCCAAATTTAGCCACAGAACTGCCAGTTGGGTTCCAACCAGCAGGTACTTCCTCACCACAAACCTACCAGAAAGGAAAATTTTCCCCAACTTCAATTCTGCTCCTTTTAGTTCAAGGCAAAGGGCTGACACTGGAAGGCAGGAGAAGGTAATTGGTTTAGTGACAGTAGGTGGGATCCTTTTGCTTAAAACCCTCCTCCTACTGTCATCTGGAGCCTTTCTAACTCCACATGGCAGCCAGCACACCTGTGACTCAAGAGACCTAACCCTGGGTGATAGTTTAATGATCTGTCTGGTGAACTCTCACCTCTTCAGACTTCTGTCTAGGCACAGGGAAAACAGAAAAAAGGGAAGAAAAAAACCTGTTCTCAAGCATATTTCCATGATTGTGTGGTGGAATGAGTCAGGATGGACCCTGGAGCTGCCTTCTGACAACAGCAGCAAGAACAACAAAAGCAGAGGTGTAAATGTATTCGGGTCAATCTCATCCATGGAATTAATTTGGGTTTTACCACTTTTTACACCTCATCTAGCCCTGTTATCCACCCATCACTCAAGATCTATACAACGTGGGAGCAGTCTCCTAGCTGAGGCCACTGGAGAAGGCACATCTAGCCTCTTTTTTTGCTTCTCTCTTATTAAAACCCTGTTTGTGGTCTCCATCTGGAAATGGTGACACTGACCCACTCATTTTTCAAACCACCCAACACTTTGAGTAGGAGGAATGCCTTGATGCTGACCAGAATTGGAGGGTGATGCACCAAGAATGCAGGATGGATCCAGACCAACATTCTCCACTGAAACAACCCAACAAAGTCATACCAATGAAATGACAAAGCAAGAGGACAGGGCCACAGCACTGATCCATGGAACTCCAGCACATTTGCTCTTCTCCAGGAAATTCTTTTAAACACAGGGAGGCAGAAAGTGCTGCTGTCCCGGGCACTGAAACGTGGCCAAACTCCATTGCTGTACGTGCTGAAATATGGTGATAAAAATCCTATTTCCTCCCATCCCAATTCCCTTTAAGAGAAGAACAGGATCAGGACTGTATAGAGAATTATAGAATGGTTTGGATTGGAAGGGACCTTAAAGCTCATCCAGTTCCAACCCCCCTGCCAGCAGCAGGGACACCTTCCACTAGACCAGGTTGCTCAAAGTCTCATCCAACCTGGCCTTCAACACTTCCAGGGAGGGGGCATCTACAACTTCCTTGGGCAACCTGTTCCAGTGTCTGACCACCCTCACAGTGAAGAACTTCTTCCTAATATCTCATCTAAACCTCCCCTCTTTCAGTTTAAACCCATTTCCTCTTGTTTTGTCATTAACTGTCCTTATGAAAAGTCCTTCCCCAGCTTTCTTGTAGGTCCAACAGAGACATTCACCAACTGCTTCTAGGTTGGGTTTTTTTTCAACATTCTCTCTCCAAGGATGCTGCAGTGGACAACACATTCAGGAGATCTGAGCTCAGCATCTTCCTTTCAACAAGACTCTTGTGTGAATAAAGGTAAATTGTTTAATCTGAGTCTCAGTTGCCAACTTATAAAAGGGGGAATAAATCATCCTCACCATACCCTGAACTCTTTATGGTGGGCACTCATCTCCCATGGGTCACTCTGTCTTAACTGGGACTTCTAGACACTGCGCAGTGATTTAACTTGTGATTTAACATCTTTCTGTGTTTTACCCCGTGAAATTAAATCTCTAACACAGCAATGATGAGACTGGTCCTTCAAATTAGTCTTTGAACACACAAATTCATCGAGATACAAAGCATAAATACATACACAGACACAGAGCTCAACAGCTGTGAGACCTCCTGGTGTGACGGGAGCGTGGAGGTGAATTTGGGTCAAAAAAAGCTCCTTTTCCTACTACAATGTGACAATCCGGCTGCTGGAAGGAGTTACCGAGCTCTTGCCATCCCAGAGGACAGTTTTGATGGGGTGCACTGATTGATTGTGAGCATTTAATGTTAAAAGAAAGGAAAACATATGGGAATTGGCAGCTGGTGTGAGGAATTTCCAGTCTGCGGCTGCGGGAGATGGCAGGGAACAGCACGTTCTCCTCCCTCACGTGGCAGTTCCTTCTCACCCCCCCCCTCATGATGATTATGCTGTTTCCTAGATGCAGCTAAACACATCAGCAGCTCCCTGCATCCTGCCACAAGATTTTTTTGGCAAATTCACTGGACAAGTCACATTTTAAAGTTTTCCAGATTGTGGACACCACCACTGTGCTTTACACGTGTTGTTATTTTCTCTCCTCTTCTCCAAGCCATGCTGGGCTGGAGAAATTTCACCCTTTTCATTTAGTCTCACACTAAAGGGTTTGGTTGGTGTCATTTTGTTGAGGGTTTATACTATGGGAGCAAGGCACATGAATCAGAAGGTGGTTTGAAAGGGTGTACGTTAGCCTTTGACTTGCCACTTACCACAGTTTGGGATTTAAACCAACTCCCAAATACAGGAAATCCAAACCCAAACCTGGCTCTGAACTGTTCAAATGCCCTTCTATTTATAATGGGCTAAATTAATGTTCTGGTCTTAAATTGGACAGTGTTTGAAGTCTAGATCCAGGACTCATTTTTGCCAGGAACCTTCTAGTAATGTGTTGCACCATGATGTGATTCTAGAGAACTTGTAAAGAGAATTTGAGAGCAATGAGTGTGATAACGAAGTAGTAATTACTGGAACAGCTGTTTGAGGGAAAGGTTAAACTCATCATCACTAGACTTCTTTCAAGGAATCTCAAGATTTTTCTAAGTCACATATTCCAGCCTGGCCTCAAGCTCCTGGGCTCAAGAGAATTATTAAGGGTAAAGAATAAATTCCTCATCCCCAAAACAAGCATCCCAGTAAGAAGACAGTCTGTCCTGAATCATGAAAGGTTTCTCAGAGGTGGACAAGGCACAAATGGTCTCACTGCTCTTACCTTGCCCAAGCCTTGCACCCGTTATTGCCTCCTTGGCGCTCCCGAAGCCCAGCTCTCGGCACACCACGCTGGCTGACACCAGGTTCCAGTTATCATCACAAACCGTTCCCCACTCCCCGTTTTTCAGCACTTCAACTCGTCCTTCACCAGTGTTGGCTCCTCCTTTCAGCCTCACCAGTGGTTGCTTGAAGACACAGACAGAAGAGGTGTTACCACTGCCCAGGAACAAACACATCCTGTCTTTACAGCTCTTATTTACAGCACGTGGCTGCAGGTAAGTTGTGGCCCTAAAAGTATTACCCTGAGGCACCTTAAAACAACCACCCCATAATACAAAAGGCTAAAAGTGCTGGATGAGAGAAGATCTTTATCTGCTAAGACTTATGGAATGCATAGACGTGTTTCTCATGTCCCTATATGTGGGCAGAGAATAAAAAGAGATATCTTCGTTCTCTGCAGTTTTAGTGCTTGGATTTAGGAGCTTTTGGGATGTCGAGGCTGTTAGTAACTTCAGAGCCTTATTACAGAATCCCAGAATTGCCTTGATTGCAAAAGCCCTCTAAGATCATCAAATCCCATCATGAACCCAACACTGACCAGTCCCCAACTAACCCATGTCCCTCAGCACTGTGTCTACACGACTCTTCAATCCCTCCAGGGATGGGGACTCCACCACTGCCCTGGGCAACCCCTTCCAATGCCTCAGAACCCTTTCAGCAAAGAAATTCTTCCTCACATCCCATCTCAACTGCCCTGGGCACAACTTGAGGCCATTTCCTCTTGTTGTGTCCCTTGTCACTTTATTGAACAGACCCACCCCCACCTCTCTCCACCCTCCTCCAAGGGACTTGGACAGAGCCAGAAGGTCTCCCCTCAGCCTCCTTTCCTCCATGCTCAACAACCCCAGTTCACCACAGCTGAGTGGCAGGTCCAGTTCCATTAATTTCTATTCTTATATTTCTATAAGTCACTGACTATACATCGCTTATATATTTTCCCA